GCGTTTTTATAAACTATCTTTGTTATTTTCAGGTTCAGATCTGTAGTTATATTGCTCACTCTATGACTAAAAATATTCGCAGTTTTTTCTATACAAGACCTAGGACAATAGTTTTATTATATTGTTCATTTTCTGCACGGTTAAAGTTCATGGTCGTAAATATATCTTTTACTTTTTAAATATTGATATTTAAAAACGTTTCTATTTACTCCATAGATTCATTGGCCTTTAAATGATTTTTCATCGACCATCTCTTATTCTTCGTAGGATAATATGAAATTTTTTCTGTATTATTTATGGCCGCATCAGTCACTTTTTTGGGTTATTAACGATACCAATAATAACACGTTTCCATAAATTCACAATTGATTGTATAATTTAATAAGTTTTAGGTAATTTATTAGTCCTTTAATCTTTAATTACATTCTCAGTTACAATCACCTCAATCACAAAAAAAGTAATGCAAAGAAAAGAACGATTTTTTAAATACACAGTCGTGCCAGTCAATGTGTCCAGTAAAATAAATTCAGGTGTCTAAAGCATCTGTTTGTGTTTCAACAATTTGCTCAACTTTATTTTATTTATAAAACGATATTACTAGTAAGTTGTTAGAAAGAAAACTATAAGTCGTTACATATAAAAGTCTACAATTAGTTTTCCCTTGTGCTTCCTAGTGGATCCAATTAGCAACCTTTAACTCGTTCTCGGTAATAACAAAAGTACTAATGAAAAGTCGGACAAAACTAATGTTTCTACCGTCAACTAATCGTCAAGTTTTTAGAGGGTACACTTTGTAACAGTTTGTACGACCCACCCTGTATACGCTTTATATATGTACGTGTTGGATACGCGTATATAAAGCTGTATGTATACGCATATGTATATTGCTAACCATATATATATATATAATATGTTATGCGTAGTTTAGGTTTGATGAAGGGATTATCAGTGAGCCAGCAAACGAGTTGTTAGCATTAGGGAAGAGTGATGCAATTTATTTGTACGTTTCCTTTCGAATTAATCATCATTACATGATTTGTGTCGATGCGAATATGATTTTTCTGTAAAAAAAAAAAATTAAAAAGAAATGACCAGAATATACCAACAACACCGGTTAAACGCGGCCGTTAGTCCCAACAAAAAGTATGTAAGTGTACAAGTTACTCATAAACACGATCCGCGCGCACATATGTCTATGTCGAATAGCGAGTCATTAACGATGGAACAGCCGATTATTTTCCTTGGCTTTGAGAAACGAAGAAATATACATCGGATGATGGACGTAATTTCTTTACAGTCGGTGGTATTTATTCAGAGTTAAAGAATCACTCATTTGACAAGCAACCTTGAACATTCGAAAATAATTTTTCCAAAAGAAATTTCACGAAAATGGAAACTCTCTGTAATTATAGTTCACTTCAAGGTACTGACATGACAATTTTTGTATTAATCGAAAATAATTTTTCCAAAAGAAATTTCACGAAAATGAAAACTCTGTAATTATAGTTCACTTTAAGGTACTGACATGAACATTTTCGTATTAACTAACTATAATTTTTCCAAAAGATGTTTCATGAAAACGCAAATTCTATACAATTATAGGCCGCTTCAAGGTACCGACATGACAATTTTTGTATTAATCAAAAATAATTTTTCCAAAAGAAATTTCACGAAAATGGAAATTCTTTGCAAGTATAGTCCACTTTAAAGTACTGACACGCCGGTTTTTGTATTAACCCATTCGCAGCCCCTCCATGCTAAATTCTGTCGTCGTAGTTTCGGCGCCTGCGCAAAAGCTGAATCGTGCTGGCGCGCCTGCGTACGTAACGTGGTGGGAGAGCAAATTTGTGTGCTCGAATGTACGTGTGAAGGGGAAGTGCCTCGCGTGGCAATATATTTAGTGGCAATATAGTTAGAGCCCACTTTATGTATCTCAAGTCCCAACCGAGTGTTTCGACTCGTTACATCGTCAGCCTGGTGTTTGGGCGCAGCCAATGCGCTGTCGTTCCGAATGGGTTAATCTTCTACGTCCCACCTATTAACACGTAGATATCTTTTTAACTTCATTCGATAAATAGATTTTGCAGTTCTTATTATACGATCTGTTCGGTAGATGCTTATAACACGATGATTCCTAAATAAAGGAATAACGTGCATCATTTTCTCCAGATGATCGGACACGAGTGTATACTCATCTTTATTCTGAAAACCAAGGGGACACAGTCTCGTCCGTTCTGTTCTTAATGACTCACTCCATATTATTTGTAATCATCTTGATCTCGCCACACACATTATGACCGCCTCTGACGTCACCGTTGCTCATAGCTGAACGCACGTTAAGGCGTCACTCGTCGAACGTATTCATGCCGCTCGTTTCAACCCGCCACCCATGCCCTCAGAGTATTGGCCGCTCGGCACGTGTTTACCATCGAATGACGACGAGATACATATTTATATAGTAAATATCATTTCTATGCGTGAACCGCCCCGCCCCGTGGTCTAGCAATTAGAGAAGAACAAAAAAAAAACAGAGAAACAAACGCGACGTGCGCAACGTGAGACATCATCAAACGAGCGTCCTCGGGGTGTCGACCGTGACCGTTTACCATTTTTTTTTTCATATCGACGAGTTGTTGCGACGAGTAACGTCCATTATCTTTCTACATACACACACACACACACACACATAAACGTGCGTACAACACGTTCATCGACCGTATTCTCGATACATACCTACCTGTCTCTTTTACCAATGGGCAAATATAGGATCCCGTACGTGACACCGTGGCTACCCCGTAACGGGTGGACACAACCATTGATAGATACTCCACATGACCCTCGATCGTATAGTATATATATATATGATACACACCAACACACGAATCACGTCTCTTGACATTTTCTATATATAAATATACAACGACGGTCCTGTATTGATAGAGTAAAAGTAAAAACCTTTTGTACGTAGGGCTTTCATGTCGTAAGATCGTATTATTATGATATATATATATTTGTGTTTGGGCCCATATTGGATTCAGTGACACGTGATTAAGATTTTTTTACGTTTTCTTCGTTATCCCTCTGTTGTCTGGAGGTAACGCTATAACGCGCGTGTTTATTTGTTGATCGTACCAGAAAATTGCAAAATAGAGAAAATGAAAAAAGAAGAAGAACAGCGGGTGTCTGCTGAGTTCATGATGAGCCTCGCATTAAATATTTACAGAGTAGAAAGGAAGTGGAGCATGGAATGGTCATGGTGAAGTTTCTTATGTTTTCTTTTATTTTTCTCTTTTTTTTTTACGTTTTTTTTTCCCATTATTACTGTACACACTTGATGCAATAACACCCTGTTGTCTCACCACCTTAGGCACTTGTTATTTGATCTGACTCGCTTGTAACAGCAAGACCAATTATTTGATTAATGTTTCCACCATCGCACGTAGACAGTTTTAACCACGAGTACTTATTAGCCGAGAAACGAGTTTTGTGCTTGTATTTGACTGCAAGTGATATTCGAGACACGAACGAGCCTGCACTCTACCGTACATTTTTTTTGTATTTTTTGGTTTTGGATCTGACTCTTCTGTCACCCGTTTACGTCTCTAATTTTTTGTTTCCGTTGTCGTTCTATCATTTTGTTTATTATTGTTTATTTGGTCTGTTTTTACGTTCCTTTGTATACATCCGTATATATGTATATATACCTAGTATACAGATTACTTACTGTGTGTGTATGTGTGTGTGCGCGGCGCTTGTGTGTAGTTGTTCGATCACGTTATACAGATAGATACACGCGATTTTCTGATCTTGGTAGTATATACGTTTCTTTAAATTGCCAGAGGATTCTACTGTGTTTCTATATATACACTCCCTCTTGTCAGTATTAGGACACTTATTGGATATGCGCAGTAAATGTTACAAGACATTACGAAATTGCTGAAAGTCTGAAATAAATACAGTAAATACTCGATAAGTTTTCGAAAGCCCCTACGCACTGATAAGTAGAGGTCCCTAGGTGTAACGCTAACTTTTTAACGAGGTTTAAGACAGTGATAGATCTCGGAATTCTGAAGCCAGTGATATTTGTTTCAACCGCATACGGTCATTAATTTATGAAATATTTCATGTTCAGTGCCGAGGAGCCTTCGAACACTCATCGACTATTCACTGTATTGTTATGGGAAAATTAACCCGTAAAATGAAAAAAAAAATGGCCGAAGAAACATCATTTTTACGAAGCATCACATTTCCTTTGTATCGGCCAGGTGTCCTAATACTTATAACCGGTAGTGTGTGTATATTTTCCTTTTTCATTTCAATATTTTCAATGTATACATCCGCATTACTCTCATTCGAAAGTTTCCCAAGGATTGTAACTCCGTTCGAACAACTGACACAGAACTTTCACTCGAATATTGTTACCGCGGCAGCAGACTAAACTGGCACCAATACCAAAAGAGAGCTAAAAAATTTCGATCTCTTAACGATATTCACGTTTCTCTCTCTCCACCCTCCACTCCCAACCCACTATCTCTTTCACTGGTTCTCTGTCTCACTTTCCTTCTGTCTATCTCTAGCTTACTTCTCTATTCTTACTGTACCTTATTCCGTGTATTTCGGGTACGGTACACACGTTCCGCACCCGTGTTTATGCCCTCGAGCCGCGTTGCGACAAGTGCTCCACGCCCCTCGAGGAGCGCGTTCGAATAAGAACGAACGAACAAGGAAAAAAAAAACGAACGAAAGAAAAAAATATACAATAAAACGGGAAAAAAACGGCGAAAAAAATAAACGGTTGCTCGACGCACGCACGGAGAGAGAAGAACGTAACGAAATCGTTAATTAGTTCAGAGACATTACGTAATTACATAGAGCGTGTACATGGTAGTTGCTTGTTAAGTTATTCTTATTTATTTATTTATTTTTTTTTTTTTAACACGTTATTCCCCCCTGCACGCTAATGCGGGGAACGGAATCTAATTCGTCCGTTGTGTTGGCAGACATATTGTCGTGTGTGGCCACATCACCTACGAATCAGTCTCCCACTTTCTCAAGGACTTCTTGCACGAGGACCGCGAGGACGTTGACGTGGAGGTTGTCTTCTTGCATAGGTATGACCAATCATAAACTATATTTTGTCGAACCTGTCCCCGAGGCACTTTGAACGCCACCTGTTCTCCATCTGATAGCCTGTATGATCGATATTTTTTATGTACACAGATGAAACAATAAAGATAACTTTCGTTGCAATTCGATTGTGGAGGTTTGTAGAAATGAACGTTTTGCCATATCTTCCTTTGGAAAGACCAGGGATTAAAGCTTATTCTATATAAGTCTGTTAAGACAGAGGCTTCGATGATTTTTATTGTAACTTCTATCGTGTTCTACGAAATCCACGGTCTGATTTGTAACTTTACTGTCGTCTATACGATTAACGATCATCTTGAACACGATTATACAGGTCATCCCAGTGTACGATCCTCTATCCCTCCATCACTCGCATTTTAGACCCAACATCGATCTTGTACAATATATACTCGAATGTGTCAACCACAGATATCACGTACAATCACCGTATTCCCAAAAATGAATGACAATGTTCCCGTTCTCACGTACCGTTATAAGTATAATGTTACCTGTGCTACCAATAGTTGATCGTTACGAAGTTAAGTAAGTCTGCTACTGTAAACAGAGAAAAAGAAAAAAGAAAAAAGAAATACACGCAGTCACGTTGTTTTGAATATCCACAAACTGGATTAGGAAGAGATTATTGCGCGTCGAATTTTTGTGTGTGTGTTCTCACTGTAATAGGCTGAGTTCAGGTCTGTGTAGGTGTATGTACACCATTTTAAACGAGTTTTGTTTCCGCGGACCGATACGACCAAGGGCGATCAGACCTCATCGATCCTAGGCGTGTTTCCGTGGCTCACACTCTATGTTCTCTCTTCGATTATTCTAGCGCTCGCAGTTCAGTTCGTGGTATTCCTTATCGAAAGGTTGCTTATTATGTTTTTAACGGCCGCAAAATTAACAGGAGGGACGGACATTTAAGTCCAGCTTGTCACGGTTGGCTCGAACGCGCCAGGTCTGATCGTCATTGTCGTAAGGAGTGATCTGTGTTTTCAGGAAAGAGCCAGATCTCGAATTGGAGGGTCTCCTGAAGAGGCATTACACGACCGTGGAGTTTTTTCAGGGCACCATGATGAATGCTGTGGATCTGGAGCGCGTCAAGGTACCCCACGAATCCTAGAAACAACCATCATACGATATACCATCCACCATACCAAACCAAAAACCTCCAAATCAATCTGATACCCATCGCGTGTGGCCGCTCGCGCTTCTTTGTTTCCTTGCAGTTCATTTTTTTTTAGGTTATCGCGCGGTTTACCACACCTGGACGTAATTCGACGATCTGTCGATCAAAACATATTATATATTTTATGCATACACTCTTTATACACGTGAAAATATACACGGGTTCGTACAATGCCGTCGTGTCCGTGTGCAAACTCATGGAAATCATCGTCGTTCGTTACAGTGTTACTTATACACATACACTTACATACATACAGTACGGTAAAATATTATTATTTGCAGTTAGGAGTATATAAACACATATACTTAAACACTATTTCAATGCCGATACACTGTCTTCACTTAGTTCTCACTTTTCTCAAATTTTTTTTCCTTCTCTTTTTTCATGTTTACGTTTCTCTTCCTCCGTTTTGTTTCACGGATATACACACGAAATCGCGCACGTGCCACGTATCATGCTCGATGCGAGAAGCAAACGTTCGAGATTCGAATATACAGTGTCCAGTTTCCTCTTTCTGGGGGAATGTCCAGTCCCGTGGCACTGTGTGGAGTTGTTACATGTGAACGTGCGCGCACGGGGTCGTTCTTGTAAGGTCGACTTCTGCGATTCCGTGAAAGTTTCGGAGATACTAACGGAATTATTTGCAATAAAGACTGTTGTTTCAAGAAAAGCTTCAGTGACCGCGGATAATTGTGACAGTGTATTGATAAATATTTTTGTAAATTACGAACTGTTTTATCTCTAGAACAAGAGTAAAACCAATGATACACATGTGTACTTTCAATATTTAATCTTGAGACATAGCTCGTTAAATCGAGAATTAAAATTAGCTAGTGTTCTATAACATAAAAACCGTGTATAGCCTTGATTATGGAAGCTGGTAGAAACAAAAGAATCACTTTTTATTATAGAATATTTACATGCGTAATACACTGTTAACAGAAATCCATTTGAAACTTGTATCCGCCGTGTATAAAAATTCGGGTAATGGAACGCTGGATTAACCTTCATCAGGATAGAATAGAGATGAGCCACAGAAGACTCTCAGAAATTAATAATTCCAATATATTTAAAATAGTAAAATAAAAATTTTAAACATTCATTATATATACATTATTATATTGTTTATAATAAATTAATAAAAGATTCTCAGAGGTTCTTCTATCAAGATGAAGGTTAAGCAACGTTCGTATGACCGGTGTTCTGATAATCGAGGTTCTGTTAACCAAGGACTATTAAACGAAAAGTTCGTGAAAAGTATGTATTTCTTTCACTACTCGTGTAAATACACGCAAATACTTGTATCAGTCGGCTGAAAATGAATGACCTCGTGTGCTTTGGGGTATGTATATAGTACAAGCGTATATGTACATATTTATATTATTATACATAATATACATTCGTACACAGATACACAAACGGTCCGTATCTATTTACGAATCGTATGAATTACAATAATAGCCTAATTATAATGTAGAAAGCAACCGCCTGCGACTGCATGGTATGCTGTAATGAGCTATGGAGCCGAATCAGCGTGCAGTAGAGACTTACTTAGACCTATTATCACATTATATCTCCCGTATCCGTGGTACCACCAAAGTGGGCCCACGTGTTCCTTCGACAATCTAGAATCTTAGAAACATATTATATAACCATTGCATTTATACGAAATTCTGAGCCGACATACATATTTTCCGTATCACATTGGGCCGGCTTTTCGCTGTCTTCTCTCTCTCTCTCCATCTATCTAGAGACAGAGCTAGAGCCACAGAAAGGCGTATTTCAATCGCGTTATAAAGTCGGATGACCGGCGATATCTTCGTCGACCTGCTCGGCGATGTCTCGAAAAATAAAACGGTGCTCGGTCCAAACACGCCAAGAGGTGAACGTTTTCATAAATGAGCAATATCGTTTTGGTCGGGCCATTTAGGAAACCACCAGATCTCGAGCTAGAGGGACTGTTCAAGCGGCACTTCACCACCGTGGAGTTCTTTCAGGGGACTATCATGAACCCCATTGATCTGCAGCGAGTCAAGGTGAGCTACACACCATCCGCCACAAATGAAAAAAACCACCTACAGTAAATCATCGATGAGTGTTCGAGGGTTCCGCGGTGTTGAGTGTTCAGACGTCATCCCCACCACTACAAGGTTCCTCGTGGGAACCAATCAAGCGCCCAGTGGTGGGGATGACGTTTGAACACAGTGCTGAGGAGTTTTCGAACACTGATCGATGATTTACTGTATTTTCTCTTCGTGGAGTAAGTGTATGGATATGTTGGACTGTGGACGTTTATGCAAATATAGATCTTCATGGGGGTATTTTGTGAGAACTAGGATCAGAGAGAGATTTGATCACTCGAATATAGTAAGGTTTCAAGTGGAATGATATGAATTTTATTAATTGTGTAGTCAATTTTTTTTTGGCTGCACTGGGTTGTAGAGAATTGCTATAAATGCATAAAATCTGCAGTTTAATGATGATCGCGCTGACTAATTTGCGACGAATTGTGTATCGTGCGACTGTCCCCGCAACACACCCCCGCCCCCTGTTTTCGTCCTCTCATAATGGTCAATCGTTCGTTCAATTGTCATGCTCTCCCGTGTTTATGTGACAGCAGCTTTCATGACAGGATTTTGATATTTTTGTTTGTTTATAATGTTATCAGTTAAAATTGGAACAGCATTGATTTATTCTCTGAGAATATTTTACTTATTTGAAAGATGGATTTTAAAGACAGCGTAAACAGTGTTACATTATCTATTGTAAAAGTATGTACGCTGTTCTGTAGAAGTTGAAAAAAGGTCAAATAAGAATGGTTGTAGATTCTTGGAAAATTGTGGAGCAGACAAAAATTCTGAAACAATATTGTGATTTGAATAAGAGTTGTATATCTACATAATTATTTTAGAAGCAATTTGTATGGATCTAGAATTCTGTCTTGGCTACTCTTAACGCTTGACACATATTAGGTATTTACATATCAACAGAAAGTTATTATACTGTTAGCTTAACAGAAAGTTCTAAGAATGATTACGTTAATAAATAGAAACTCCATTGTCGAAATTTAAAATTTCTTTAGATCTATACAGATTTACAGTATATTCGTTATGCATAATTTATTTTACATATATAATTTCGAGATGCAGAAGCTTCGACGTTATTATGATAATCCATACCACAGTGAGTCATACTTTTTTCAAAGAAATCGTATAGTAATTTTACTAAATCATCCTTATTTATACAGCATAGTGTCATTAATCGTTTTCCCTTGATTGGTGATTCAGCAGTATCCTATTTCTCATTTAAATAATAAATCAATCACCGTCTATTCGAAAAGATTTATGGTCAGTCACATACGAAATCCTCTCGTTAACTCTGTTTTTCAAGTAAAATCCTTATTTAATTACTAATTGTTATTTAAGTGATTGCAACTAATTCTGCAATATTTATTACTACCTTCACACATTACTCGAAAGTGATTCATTTTTTCCAGTTACAAACAGATAGAATATATTATTTTTATATTACTACTATAATAATACGTTGCTATTCCTAAACAATTCACTGAAAACGACCCCCGTTACTTTTACTACTTACGTCACCCCATTGGGTCTTTTATCTCCAGACCAATTTTTTATAGTATGAGCTACCAAAAAATCGGAAAAAATTCAAGGATACTTCCCAGGGTTACATGATCCAAAAGTTTTGAAAGTTGATTGTTAAAAGTTTCTTTTTTTTAATAAGAGACCCTTCGTTTGGGAGATATTCGAGCAGGAAATTTCGCCTGTGCCATAAAAGACCCAGAGGGGTCATGGAGGGTTAAAAACACTGTCATGGAGGCTGCTCAAAATGGTCTTCGGTCGCCCCAGAACCGACATTTACCGCGACAAGAACAAACGCTGTTACTCCAGGATGGTTGTTGCTTGTGTGTTTCCTTCTGTGCACATTGACAATGTCTCTTGGAACCCCCTTGACGCATCTCCCATGCTGTCATACGCTTTCGTGTCTGGTCAGTCCGAATTGCATCTCGTTCGAATCGAATCGATTGAACACGGTAATGGACTGTCGTGGTTAAACAGTCACGCACTCGCCCCCTCCCCTCCATGTTACAATTACGAGACAAGATATTTAGCCTTTGACCGACAATCACGAGCCCCCCAACTCCCTCCCCAGGTTGAAAAAACCTTCGACAGCCGTGTCACGATCGAAAAAAAAAACATCTTTAGTCTCTTCCAACATGTGTTGATACGCATACACGTGTGTACGCATACTTTCTGATATGGTAAATTATGTTAGAAAAAAAAGCCCCTTGAAGGTTGTTTGCACCTACTGGATAGATCCATGCCTGCTGTCGATCCAGGTGGGTATGTGCTTGCGGAAGGAATTAGTTTAAACGATTAGACGTTATTAGGAGTTGACCTTTTGTTAGAGACTTAGAAATAATGCGAGCAACGGTTTCTTGTTTGTTGAAATGCGGGGTATATTAGTAATTTTGGATGCGACCAAAGGAGAAGGTGATCTCGTATGTAAGTGAGCCTTTGGGAGCATTAGTGGTGTGTAGGTTGATAAATGTGCCTTTGGGATATTTAGAGGGTTAGAAAAGATCTTGTATGTCAATTTGTATTTAGATGATATACTTAACCTTGTAGAGTTATTCACAGTTTGACTACCATATCACCCACATATGGATGACTATTGTTTAAATGGAGAACTAACATTAGAATTTTTTAGTAAAATGCTGAATGAATTAATTTAGTTAGAACCTAGGAGATTCGAGAAAATTAAAGGAACAGTTACTCTAACAAATCGAACTTTCGATGTTTCAATTTTATTTAATACAAAATTGCTTTGACTTTCTTAGAATTTTTATATCGGTCTGGCAGTCAACTTGCGAATGAACCTGGACATACACGGTTCTATAAAAGGGAGATAGGGATTCTATGATCTTAACTGAAATGCATCGAAAATTTATTTACACCATAAATGCTTTGAAGGGCTGAAATGTAAGTCGAAAGTAATTTAAAAATATATTTTTGCTCATTTATAAAATAAAAAATGAGATTATTAAAAATGCAATATTCATATTCCAATAAACGTTATATTGTATTATATTTTGAAAATAGAGAAATGTATTTGTTGCTTTATTAATAGTTGTTTAATAATAACGCAGATGCCATTTTGCCTATTACTTTGTGTTATTTGTTAAGTAATCTGTTTATCCGACCGCTGTAAATTTTTAGAGATATAATCAACTCTTCACGCAGATCCATAAAAAAAACAGAACCAAACAAATGTTCACCTACATTATTCGACTTACCTTCAGAACCACGAATCACCTTCTTGTCAGTTACAACAAAATTCCGAGTACACCCTGTATATGTATACATATAAACCTTGCAGTAAAACGTATAGGACGGTACGTTCTTTGTCTGCTTACACGTAGTATATCCTTTCTTTCGTATTGATTAAACGTAAGTCTCATTAGCGGATAATCGATGGGCATGTTGGCATAGCAGCTTTGATACCATGAATTCTAGCGAATCCGCGTTTAGTGTTAACGTTTGTCCGTATTAAGGAATGCTATTAGATCTTGTTACTTTACACTTTATTATTGCTGCAAAAACTTTTTCGAAGTACGTGTTACAAGGTGTAGAGTAATCACAAAAATATATGAAAAATAAATGGACGAATAAGATAAAAAAATCTATCCTAAGTGACACGTACCTCGGATTCGTTTCTGCATACCCGCGGCGCCTAATAGAAACTGGCTTAACGTTAACGCTTTTAATGAATCTTGACACGTAGTTGCATCCTCCCAGTTGTATGTTTAATTCGATCGATTCTACCATTTACTCTCAATCGATTACGCACCATATATACATCGAACATCGCTTTTTTTTTTGTAATCTCTTCGATGATAGATTTTTATCGATATATATATATATTTAGAATTACGTGTATAGGATAGATAAGAGTTTTTCATTGGATCGAATTCCTACACTCGAGATTTAGTTAAATTCTAAAAATTACAAGATCGGCTAGATGATTCACCCGTACATTTTTGATTTCGCGCGGACATCCTTTGTTTATATACTGTTTGTAGAAAGAACAATTTCTATTCTGCTGCTGCTTCTCTGAATCCCGTCCCAGATCCACCACACGACATTTACATTTCCCATATTTGACTTTGTCACGTGTACGAAAGCAACGTGTGGAACAAAGGATGCCGATCGGTTTTAGGTCCACGAGGCGGACGCGTGTCTGGTACTGGCGAACAAGTACTGTCAAGATCCAGACGCAGAGGACGCGGCGAACATCATGCGCGTCATCTCGATCAAGAATTACTCGGATGACATACGCGTTATCATTCAGTTAATGCAATATCACAACAAGGTATTATTTTTTGTTAAGTATTCGTCACTAGTGTATTAACTATGCAGAGTTACAAACATATCTTGGAGAGCTTAATGTAGGGGAACTTTAGTTTTCATAAGTACAAGCCTCTGAGGTGGATGAAATTTGAATAAGAAAGCTTCGGTATTGTCTAGACTGTGAAAGTTCATGCTAATCTAGATTTGTCTGGCCCATATTATAGGAACTGGGGAATGAGATCAAAATTTGTTTATTCTATTAAGGCTTATATGATATAATCTATATGATTGTTATATAATTGCAAATTTTGCGTTAATTCTTTATAAATTTTTGCAAATGAATGAGAAAGTTTCATACAGAATAACTACACTGCGTGGCATAACTATAAAACCACCCTAAAATTCTAAATTCTTACATATTGTGGTTAAAATAAAAACGAACCAAGTATGCCTTATATAAAATTCTATTGAGGAATAATGTGTTTCCAGAAAAGGATAGATTATATTCCCTAAGAAAAAAGTGGTTCCTTTTTATTTCAACCACAATACATAAGAATTGAGAACATTAGGGTGGTTTTATAGTTATGCCACGCAGTGTATATAGGGTGAGTCATTTATAATATGTACTTTCTATGTCATTTCATATCTTCTCTACGTGCCCAGCCACAAAAATATTATTCACATCAAATTATCCCCACCATCTCCTCTCCTCCCTCTTGCACCATTCAATTTTTATCTGAAACACTTTTCCGTATCATCAGTGGTTCCGAAGATATTCGAGGGGATCAATTTAAATAACTCACTCTGTGTAGTATGGGCCACCAGTGACCCGATCATCATTCACAGCCAGTCATGCCGGAGTTTGTTACCAGAAAATACAAATTTCCTCTCAAAAATTCATTCGGACATTCGTGTTTTCATCAGACAAACGTAACTCTGTTCCAGGCCTACTTATTAAACATTCCATCATGGGACTGGAAACAGGGCGACGACGTAATCTGCCTGGCCGAATTGAAGCTGGGTTTCATCGCGCAGTCTTGCCTGGCGCCGGGTTTCAGCACAATGATGGCCAACCTCTTCGCAATGCGTTCGTTCAAGACGGTCAGTAAACTGTCGTTCATCGGCGGACGAAATATCCGCCGATCTTTATCTCTCTACCTCTCATCTATGCATGTGTGAAGGAAAAAAAAGAAAATGTCTCTTAGGGTTTTTTTCATGGTCTGAGCAGTTCACAGTGATCGCGTGCGAACGAATTTTTCCCATCCCCTCCCCCCGTCGTACGTCATTTTTATTATTTTTTCGTTTGCCTAGGAGAAAACGGTCCTCGCAGGTCGAGGCCATTTCTCTTTTTCTTCCTTCTTTTTCTCGATTTTCGGGCTAGAACCGTCGTCGTCTTTTCGAGTTTTGTCGAGCGTGTTCCGGGTAGTCGACGACCTGGGGGAGGGAGGCAGACCCACGAGAATTTTTCTCTCGCGCACGTTGAATCGAGTATGAGAATCGTCGTGGGAAAATGATGGTCGCGGGGAATTGCGGTATATAGACCGGTCGTTTCACTGTGGACAGACCCACGTGGTATCCGTACATGCATAGGAGCGCGTGTGATTCAGAAATGGTTGGTTGATTGGTACCAGTCGCCCGATATGCAGGCTTGGCAGAATGACTACCTACGTGGAACCGGAATGGAGATGTACACCGAAACACTGAGCCCTACCTTCATTGGAATGCCTTTCGCGAAAGCCACTGAGTAAGTCGGTTCAATGACCAATCCAAAAAAAAAAAACACCCAGCAGACACCTGCATAAATCTGATTCAAGAGACGCGATCTATGTGTGGTTCCACTCGTCCGTTTTAAATCGAGTGTCCTTAGCCTCGCCTTTGTAGACGCAGATTGATGTGTCTCGATAAGTATATTGACTTGAAAAAATTGTTAACTTGTTTATGGTCAAAAGTGTTCTTGGTCTTTTATTCTTGTGCTTACAGGGAAAGGACCCCAACTGACCGACTTTGATTTTAACGGGGTTTTGTAAAATGTAGGTGCACTGGTTTTTAATGATATAATTTAAATATTAGGTGTAGACACTCGATAATTTTAAAGATATAAACGATTAAAGTTACGAACCTTTGAGATATATTAATGAATAGAAGTCAAAGTTATTGAAGTTGCGTTGGCAAAGTAAAGTAAAAATATTATATTTTGGTGAAATTTATCGAGTATGCATTCACTTGACCACCATTTGAGTGAAGTGTTTGTTCTGTATAAATAGTAATAATTGGCCAGTACTTTGTATTTTCAGAATAAAATAAACTAATCTGACAGTTGGAAGATTGTGAGATCGATAGAGAGTGGTCAGTATTGTACTAGTTAAATCCACCTACAATAAGTAGAAATATCCAATAATGGTCAGGCACAATCTCTTATTGAGAAGCAGGTGTGCCATGTGAGGTTTAAAATGTAATTTTTTTTCGAAAACGAAGCCTTTTGTCAAAAAATGTTATTCTACATATTCAACTTATTTTATCATGTAAAAGTACTTCACTTCAGTTGTAATGGTATAGTTACATTTTTGAGAAGTTTATTATAGTATTGTATGATAAAATATGCATACTTAGATTAGAGATCTACGGATATCTGCTTGTAACGTTGAAACTGCATTGTGTGTAAATACAATTTTAACATTTTACATACATTATAAATCTATGATTAGATTGAAATATTAATATATGTATAATTGAATTGTGTAACATTGATACAATAAGTGTTAGAATAAAAGACAATATCTCAGACCGCAAATGATGGAAATTAAAAATCGAATACCAAGGCACAATAGGTCTTACATATATATTCACTTAATATTTTAATTAAAAACTGTTTCCTCTGGAATTGTGATAACTCTTTCGAACTTTTTTCAATTTAACATGCTTTTTAAAATACATCTGTGTATAGATGAGGCATCGATCACTGTTTAGATATTTATCCCTGCATTCTTAACACACAACCAGGTGCTATCTGGTTTGTTTTAATTACTTATCTCAGATCAGTTAGCTTATTTAATTAACAACGAATATATCCTCCTTTGTTTAACTTACACCAATATAATTAACTCATTAATGTGCTGTAATCCCATTGTTCAACATTTTAAGCCACATTCCATCATAATGTAGTACGAATACTTTCGTACGAGAAATATAATAGTATCTATGGAAATTTCGACCGATTCTTCACGAACGTTCGTAAACCACGTACTACGTTTACGAGTTCTCTGTGTCGAAGATGCGTGGGCATATCAGACCCGCCATTTTGCTCTCTTTCTCATGCTCGCGTGAACGACGATGTGGAATCACTCCGTGAAGGGTCCGTAGTCTCTTGAATCAGAAAACAAAAAAAACAAAAAAAAGTCCACCAAACTAAAGGGATGAAGCTTTGCCTCGCCTATGTCTTTCACTACGCTCCACTCTGCTATATACATTATATGGACTATATCTGTATATTCTATACAGGGTGGGCCAAAATTCATGGTACAAATAAGATCAGGCAGACAGTGCAGCTCAAAATAAGACGAAAATCAACAATAACGAAATTTCACCAGACGCTTCGTTTTCGAGAAAATCGAATTTGAAAATTAATCAGGAACGCCTGTATTCGTCATGGCAGTGAGTAGAAACGGAATGCAATAAACAAACTCGCCATTCTATTCAATTGCATGCCTATCCAGCAGATTTTCAAATTCAATTATCTCGAAAGCGAAACGTCAAACGCAATTTCGTTATTCTTAATTTTCGTCTTACTTTGAGCTGTACAATCTGCCTGACCTCATTTGTACCACGAATTTTGGCCCACCCTGTATATACATATATACATATACTGCATATATGAACGTGTCAAACCATTTACTTATATACAGTACCGTATCTGTGCTCTACACCTAATCGATGTAAGCCACCCCCCCCTCCCCCCTCTCATTGCTTCAGTAACGTTTCAGTAATTTTCACCAGTTTCTTGCAACTTCCATGTAACTTCGACGGGTTCGGGATTTGATCGTATACCGCGGATTGCCCACATACATACATACGGTCATGGGCAGGGTTGCCAGGCGAAGGCTTCAGAACAAAGGCCATGTGACGTCACAGTACATATATAGAGCTATATACAGGGTATTCACTCGAAGTGTAATTATCTCCTAAACTACTAGTTATAGAAAAAAAATGTTTAAATTAAAGCTTACTGGGTTTCGAGAGTGACATGTTGTGGAGGTTACAAATCTTGAACGGCCAGACATGACCTTGAATGACCTTGGAATACCAATATATTATAGCTCGATGAATTCATCATGGAACAACCTACACGTCTACCTGAATAAAAACATATGGTTCCATTAAAAAACAACCAAGGTCACCTTGGAATCTCAAAGGCACGACCACCTAGATAAGATTTATGACCACCACAAAATATCCCCGTTGAAACCCCAATTAAGTTTTGCTTACAACATTTCTTTCCATAAGAAATAGTTCAGGAGGTAATTGCGTATCCCTTCAGTTGGATCACCCTGTATACTAATACAACTTGTGCACACCATGCAAGGATTGCTATGATGTGTTCCCTCTCCACTACTTTTTACTGCGTCGCGTGGCCTTCGAACGGCCATGTTCTTCGTTTTACTCCTTGCAACCCTGGTCGCGGGGGTGAATTTTCCGAATTCATGGTGAGACCCACCCCCGAAGGACCCATATACTGCTTGCTCCGTCTTCGGGAATATTTACGAACCCTGTCAAGTGACCCGACACGTCCAAACACTTTTTATCGGTGTCTGTGTCCGTCCCACAGTTGCATCGCGTGTCGATATCGCTGCGAAACTTTCGTTTTGCAAAAGACAGAATTCCCACCGTGTATTCTTGTCTATTCTGCCGCGTCACTGCAATGTATATAATATGTACATACGTTACTGTTCAACGAAACGACACACACACCTTCACGCGCGGAAAATTTACTCGCTCTGGTAATCGATGAATTACTAAAGCGCCCGATCTCACCCGTGCACAGAGCCGGGATTGTGGACTCGAGGTGTTCGTACGTCTGCTGGAGTCGAGAATTTCTGATCGCTTTACATACAGTCAGTCAAAAAATTCTGTGTACATTCTGTAAGAGAGAAGAATTTTTAAAAAATTGGACCAAATGATTTGAGCTTTTTTCGGAAGTTAGAAAAATCAGTTTATTCAATGATGTGTACACAAATTTTGAGGAAGTTGCATTTGGGCGAAATCGCGATGGAAATACTAACGGTCGCTTTTTACAACTTTTTTCTCTGAGACTGTAATGAAAATTTATTTAATAAATTGGTTTCAAAGATTTCTATTAGTTATATGCATGCTGAAAATTTAAGGGAAGTTGGTTTATGCAGAAAGGAGCGACAGGCATCGAGAGATGTAAGAATCTTTAGATTTATTGCAGTTATTGTTAAGATTTAAAATTTGTTATCTTCGAGGTTCTAAAACGAGACGTTCCAATGGATTCGGTTATATTCTAAATATTTGTGAAGAACATCTTAGCCGTACGAACATATCCTCGTTTCATCGATCCCCGAGCATACCCGTTCACCGCTTAAGTGTTCCCATCCATTAATCCAAGCATTCCGCGGTATCGATCGAATCGAATGTTGTCCGTATGCAACGGGAAAGTCACGACGATACCATGCATTAGCCACACCTGGTCAATCAGTTAAGCATTAGGGATCGTAGCTGATAGGTGTCATCTCGAGCTTGTTGACAGCTCGTTCCTCCGTGAAAGGTGATTCCGTCATAAGGAGTGCTGAGCTCTATACGTTTCACGTCGATAAGAAAAAAGGTAGTCTCGATCTGTAACTCTCTAGGATTCCAATTGTGCATGGAAATCGTGCCTGTGTAAATACAAAGAGCACAAGCGTGAACCTTGGCTGATCACGGCAGTGACCGATGAAAAGGGATCTTTCGATCGATAATAATCACACGTGAGCACCGTCAATGGAATGTTCGAATGCAGAGTTTATCGAAGATTACGCATACACAGCTGATATGTTCTATTCTAGAAGCCTTTTTATGCCAGGAAGTTGGTCGTATAAAGGGAACAAAGGGTTAGTGTACGTTTCCTCATCGCGAACAATTCGATTTTGAGCCACAGGATCTGTGCTTATTAGGCGCCAAGCGTAATCATTAACCCTGAAGGACATCGTCACTGGTACGTGGTCTTCTATTTCTGTAGATTTTTTTATTTAAAAATTTTTTTTCGTTGTAATTGTCTAGCATTAAAAATAGGAGAAGCCTGCTGCTGCCTTTTAAAATTACAAGAAAAATAATGGCGTATTTGTGGTCTGTGTCCTTGAGGGTTAATCTATGGAGGATTGCAACGGAAAAGATGATGGAGAGGCAATGTTTGGATGGAATTGTGCATATAAGGGTCGAGGGCTTCGATCAGGTAGTCCGAATACCTGCTTGACTTCGAGGGATGGGAAATAATGTTTTTGGGTGAAAGTTTAGTTTAAAGAGTGATGTCGCGTGGTTTGCACGTTCAGTGTTCAGAGGAAACGTCGATTATATTTGCGGTGAATCAATCTGTAGAAAAGTCGGTGAGAAATATGTACAAAAGTCGAAGTGTCCTTTACTCATTGGAGCTATTGCACGATATGTCTTTCTAAATCGACTATACTTTCGCCTGAAATATCTTCTCAATCTCTACATCCTCTTAAAACATACAAGTGACTTGTTTCAAGTGTTTCATTGAGGAAAAACCAGAATCCATGCAGGATAAAGTTGATTCATTTACACTTATATCTCATAAAATTAGTGGTTATATACGGCTGAAGTAAATATTATTTGGTTAGAAATTTCCAATTTTATTACTGCGCAAAACCTCATTAAAAAGTCAGCGCAATAACTTGGGAATTATCCGTGTTAGAATATCTCATAGGGCCTATAACACGAGTTTTCTTTTACAGAAGTCGTTCGTTACCGAATTAAATGCTGGCTCGCTCGGTTCTCGACGAAGGTTTTAACCGTCGAGCAATCAGAAAAGCAAAGAAATAATTTCCCTTTGTTTGGGTATGCTTGCGGGTCCGGTAAAAGATAGATGTAATATGGGTCAGAATCGACCCAGTTTCGTTATCACACTGTTAACCGAAGAAATAATTTCCCTTTGTCTCAATATGTCTGCGGCGGAATCTCTACCGGTCAGGCAAAAGATGGATTTACTGTGGGTCAGAATTGACTCAGTTCCGCCATTGAAAAGTTAATCGACGAACTAATTTTCTTTTGTTTCGGTACGTCTGCGGGTCAGGCAAAAAGTAGATGTTGCGTGGGTTAGAATTAATCCAATTCCACCATCAAACGGTTAATCTGAAAGCTAATTACCCTTTGTCTCGGCATGTCTGCGGGTCAGGCAAAAAGTATATGTTGCGTGAGTTGGAATTAATCCAACTCCGCCATCAAACGATTAATCGAAAAGCTAATTACCCTTTGTCTGGACATGTCTGCGGGTCAAGCAAATAGTAGATGTTGCGTGGATTAGAATTAATCTAATTCCACCATCAAACGGTTAATCTGAAAGCTAATTACCCTTTGTCTCGGTATGTCTGCGGGTCAGGCAAAAAGTAGAGGTTGTACGGATTCGTATTGATCCAACTCCGCCATCAAACGGTTAATCGTAGAGCGAATTTTCCTTTGTCCGATATGTCTCTGGGTCAAGCAACGGGTAGATGTTGTACGGGTTCGAATTAACCCAGCTTCGCCATCGAATGATTAATTGAAGAAATAATTTCCCTTTGTTTGCTCGCGCGAGGATAAGCAGACTCTGTTTAGCGTCTCGCGCTACGTTCATCGTATTGCCGCGTGGGTGTTGAAAGGTTTGATGACGTGGGGCCCCCGATTGGTTGGTGTTTCAGTCGCCGGATACACAGGCGTGGCAGAATGATTACCTGCAGGGCACGGGCTGCGAGATGTACACGGAAACACTCTCCCCGTCCTTTACCGGGATGACATTTCCCCAAGCCAGCGAGTAAGTCCTCGCTGCCATTATTGGGCTGCCAGACATATGCAGACACTTTGATGAACAAGAACAGACATTTCTCTTTTTACAAATTTACGCACACGTACACTCACAACAATTCTTCCATTCACGATTTAGACTGCGGAAGTTTATGTATAATTCACAATTGTGGACAGTAACACGTAAAGATTGTAATTGAGGGGAATTTCGTTTTCTGTACTACCAGTGGTTTCGGTATGTTGTTAATAATTCGTAAATAGTACTTAGACTTTCTTAGAATCGTTATTTCAATAGATTTTGTCAGTTAGGAGATGTTAGAAACACGTAAACATCTGCAGTCTACAGTTCACGTTAAAGATAGACCTCGTCAAAGTACAATCACCTAATTGTTAGGGTACCTGCAATATGGACTCAAACTCAGAAAGAGCATCTTTTCATTATACATCCGAAATTGGCTTTCTTAACTTTGTTCGACTGCCGTTGATGTCAATTAGAAAGGAATTTAGTGAGAAATTTAATTAATTATTTGAAGGAAAAATTGGAGATTTTATCATCAAGATTGCAGCATATTGACGTCTGACGCAGAATGGATGAATGGAACGTACATCGTCCAAAGTGTCAAGACTTATTATAGTGGGGTCCATCTTTTAAGTGAATGGCCAGTACACACATATGCGTGCATAAGTATCGATTATTGACACATTAGACTTGGGGACAGAACACGTTACACGACTCACACTCGAGAGACACTTGACAGCGCGAGATATTTTATCTACTGCTGTGTACATATGTACCTTCATTCTGGGACTCGAACACACACACACACACACATACATTTTTAATGTATTTCTGATATCGTTGTGAGGCGTGTACATACACTCGTACCTGGATACGAATGTCACCCTTCACCTCAGTTATTTTTTTTTCATTTTCTCTCCTATTGAACGTTTTCCTTCTTCAACCAGAATCTATTATTAGTTAGCGTAGTTTGTTTTTCTTTGTTTTTTTTTTACGTTCCCGTTGTTTTTTGTTTTCCTTTTATTTTGGTACCTTGGTACGTTGGTATTTTGAATGTACTTTTGGAACTTTTTCATACACACACATACACACGTACGACGTTTTAACTAGTAACGTTTGTTTTCAAACTTCTTAACGAATTATTCGCTTTTTTTCGTACGATCTTGCTCGGTTATGTACCAATATTTTTACGCTACATAGAAGTAGTTGTCGTGGGACGAATGCAGATTTCACGGCGTACGGCATGAATTAGACTGAACTACATATTAAATCTGTTTGAACGATTGAGAACACTTTACGAGAGCAAACACGAGTCACGAAAATGAGAAAAAAATAAGCTATTTAGTTTTGTTGAATTCAAGTGTTTTAGCAAAATTACGCGTTTGAGGAGACAAAGAGCACTGGAAAAAGTAATTTTGAGTCTGGAAACATTTTAGTTAGTGATTTTTCAGGTACTACATACATACATCGCACCAAATTATTGTATCCATTTTGAGTTTCTTGATCTTGGAATTTTTATACAGCAACAGTATATTTGTTATTCGATTCTAGAAATCTTGTATAGATTATTGAAAAATGGAAAACAAACTCTACGAAATTGTAAAAAAGATATCTAATAGAAATATACGAGTAGGTAATTAAACATTTTAACTTAAACAATATTTTTATTACACTAGATTTCATAGGAAGAAATTTCTCTTCGTTACTTTTTTTTCCCCAATTATAAAGCATTTTGGCAGTGTACTTTTTAGTTACAGTAAACATTCTAAGTAGACAACAAATTTATATTACATCGTCCGTATTTGAATCTAATGACTCGAAAGTGTTTTCTTCAATGAAATCTGCATGCCTCCCATAAGAACGTGTCATGTATTTTTGTACTGACGTCTTTACGGCATCATATTATACAGCACGAGGATCAATTTTGAGGATGAAATTTTGTCAACAGGCATAAATGCAATTTTGCGTGTTATACACTTTTTTTTTAACAAATACGTGGTTGATACGCGGGATATGAATTTCCTATCCGTTTTTGTCCTTTGTCATTGTGAAATGTTTTAACAGTGTAACGTTCTAACTTTTCCTCGACAAAAAGTGTTCGTTGTACACGCATGCCTGCTGCTCTTTATTAAACGAAGTATATGAAATTTTAATGATAAATGTGAAATTTAAATCGGTTATGGTAATTGGTCGGAGATGAGTTTGTTAATCGTGCGTCAAGAATACGCCATAATTAAACGCCGTTTTCATAAATTCGATGATAGATATAGTTTAATGGGTACTTAATACGTACTAGTATATGTTCAACGATAAATAATAATTACATATAAATGTGATATTCTCCACTTTGGTAGATATTCACGTATATTTTACATGATATTTAGTAATTTACGTATCTAACAATTTTAACTTTTTGTTTCACATTAAATATTATAATCTGTTTACGTATTTAAAAATATTCTATATTTAAAGTATCAGGTTGAAAGAATTCAATCTTTTTCGATAGGTCAATCTATTAAAGACACTAAACAAAATCGAATGATCGTTTTTGAAGTCCTTAGAGACGTCTGTTTTGCTATTTTATTATAGATGCCCTCTTTGACCTATTTTTTTGCACCGTAATTATTGCATGCACTACTATTTGTCAATGCTGGGCATTATCAAATTCTGTTCATTTTTAATGACTATTTTTAATATACAAAAAAATAATTCTGCAACCATATGGTACTGTTTAATACATATATTTATTTCGCGTACAATAAGCGAAAATAGTCACTGCATAAAAATAATAATTTTTTACTAACGATTCAACGATTGTACAAGTATATACAGTGGTAGTCAAAAAGAGGTTTAACAGTTCGTACATGATAATGTATACATAATGTATAATTTAATACAGCAAAAGTATATTTATACATTGTACAAATACATATGTATATTCTACAATATTCAACAGAATGTAAAGTGCATGTAAAATTGAAAATGTTGTATTTACATATGCAAAGAATGAATGTAACAAATTAACTCAACAAAAAATAAGAATAGTTATACTCGAATACTTCTTCCAATTGTAATTATCTGTTGTTGCATTTTGCAAATTATAACATCTTCAACGTACTAATACTTTGAAGATAAATTCTGTTTTAGTATTTCCTGCATTAATTAACGAAGGGTATGCATATATTAAGATTATTATTATTTAATAAGGTAACACTCTAGGAAGTTCATACTTTTCGTTAATTAATACAGAAAATGCCAAAGAAATTAATCCGCAAAGAATTATTACGCTGTTATATGTATAATAATTTTATCCTATACTTTATATTAATACAGATATACATATACCAAAGATGATCATTATATGTTTATTATTTTTACATTTTATTACAATAAAACAAAATCGGAATTAATTTTCGTGCTCCACAAATATTGCACTAAAAAAATGGTTATTAGAAATATGTGACACACAATATTTTCCATTAATCAAATATTGAACTTTCTTTTGAGCACCACTGTAAATTCAAGAGAATAATTACTCGTTGAATTACGTATACGGTAAACATATGACTAAATTTAGATATAACATTGCGATATTATATTATATAAAACAATCACATTGGATGAGTATATTACGAATTCGATCGATTTTCCAGACTGATCCCTCTCAGCGGATCGTTTCATCTTGCAGTCTCACAGCAGAAAATTAAACACGTTCTCCGCAAATATCTGGTGACTCGAGACGTTCTCTTGAAACGTGCACCAGATTGGCGGAAGCTGCATACTTTCTTCAGTCTTACATTATGCGAGCGCACCGCGTTTATATATATATATATTTCAAAATCTTCATTTACCCAGCACTGCTATTATTTGCGTACCCGTAGGAAGGTAGATCATTTCGTCCATTTTATCTGTTGATTTTCGAACACGTTCGATTAGTGGCCCACGATTTGGTTTTGCGTGTGTGCGTGGAGAGAACACACACACGATCCACATCAACTATTACCAAAAAAAAGAAACCTTTCTCGCAGTAATTAGTCCTCTTTGCTATTCATATAAAATCACACGATTGCCTGTTAGACGCGTCCCGTTTAAGAACGACAAGAACATTTCCGTATGTGTCGGTCCGTTCCTCGAACTCTGGGGACTAGTGTAGGATTAGCGTTAGCCTTAGAACCGCACCAGATTTCTCGCCAGTCTTCGCATGCTGTTGTCTAGTTACTAGACAATTAATAGAATCTATTATGCGAACATTCCCGCTTCACCACATCCACAAATTGCTTGCTTTGCATGCTCATTTAATTGTTGTTTCTGTTAATACGCATCGGAAGGTCCAGTCGATCGTAGTAAGGCTCAAGATTCAATTCTTCAAATTTTTATTTTTATTGAAAAATGTTTTAAACATTCGACTCAACAAACGATTATATAATGTAGTAGGAATTTTGATGAGTATCTCAGAAAGGCTAAAACAGTAAAAGAGTTGGCCTGGTACATGAAGGACCCAGTTTGCTTACAGAGGGTTGAAAATAAAAATTTTTGTGAACATATAGAAAGTACTTTCATATGTTTATGCAATTAGTAGATGATAATACTGCACAGTGACAGAAGATTGGAGTAGTTTTAGCCATTATTCTTTTCTAGTAAATTAGAATTAAAATGAAAACTCTTGAGCCTTGCTTACGTGGCTTTGATGGGAGCTGTTAGGAATGAAAGATTGTAAACGGAATGTGTTGTGCTGTCTTTGGTGTTACGCACGCTTTAAGTATGTAATATTCTGTTTGATTCGTTTAAGATTTGAAGTGACATGAATATTTGAGTATTATCGACTCATTCGAAGCTCGGTCATGGCTAAATCGATCCACGACATTCGAACCATGGCTGAAACGATCCATGGATCGTATTTCTCAAAATAATGAATGGTGATTGTTCACTTATTTTCTACCATACTAATAAAATCACCCGATATATAAAGGATAGCTTCGTGTGTTATTAACGATCGTGACAATTTTGCAGTATGTATAATTGTTCTTTTCAAATGTTGTCGAATCAGACAGAGAAGCATGAATCGCAAATTCATCTTTTAATAAATTTATATGTGTATTGTAATTCATGGTAGAAACTTTTACACCGTAGAAATAATTAGTATCCTTACTTTGGTTTAATCAATACCATATCACAAACTGTCTTGTACAATGTAGATTGTGTCATTCGTATATAACTTAATGATAATCTAATCAATTGATATAGTTTACATGATAAATTCTAATGATTTTTGACCGATTATTAAATCGATGAAATTTGTATTCTACACGCTTTTGAAATCAGAACTATCGTTACAAAATTGTCCTTTGATATTCTCGCCAAGCACTTGCTTGCACACGTACAATAATACTCTTTCGAATAAATGTTTTGCATTCGTGGATGTAAGTAACGATGTTTTTATTCGTGAGTACCGTTTTAAAAAGCATCGAATATTATGCAAAACTTCGTCCTAGGTTGTGCTTCACAAAGTTGAAGTTATTGCTCCTGGCGATCGAGATAAAGGGCGAAGGAGGCTGCGACAGTAAGATCTCGATCAATCCACGTGGTGCCAAGATCGTTGCAAATACTCAGGGATTCTTCATTGCTCAATCTGCTGACGAAGTGAAGCGGTGAGAATACAATATTATATCATATAATTAACAAAAAAAAAACACTGGACATAGTTTAACTTGCGAATATAACAAATTCCTTTGTTTTATTACAAAGAACTACTCTAGTCCAAGTAAACACGTTTGTCATAAAATATTAAAGTTGTTTGCAACATTTCGTAATTTTATTTAACAATACTTTATTGTATTTATAAGATAGTTCATACTTATGGTACGTACACACTGTATGTAAGTCTTTCTTTTCCCGAAACTCGATATCGACATTATGTAGCATGTTTCGCTCCAATAATTTATTTTCACGAACACTCAAAGCAGTGAAGTGACATTACTAGATCGTAGATATTTATGCAAATTCAGATTCTAGTAACCCAATTTACAAAAAAAAAAGATGAAATAAAAGATATTTTCGAAACATTAGTAAGGTTATTGATTTAGTTATTCGCTGCATTTTCACAATTGTTGCAAATTCATAAAATTAGATTCAAGTACTTTGGGCGATACATATCATCAAAATAATAGAACTACGCAGTATGGACTGATTCCTTGTGCAAAAAATAATGGGAAATAGAGAATGAAATGTTTGGATACGAATCCTCGTTTTTCGCAAAATTGAGTATCCATATCTGTGAAATTGGCGGACTGTCTGACTATTACGCGCTTGTTCTACTTACCGCAGGCACTGATGATCGTCAGAAGCCTATAGATCAAATAAATTTTGCAAAAGTGATGAATATTTCAAAACAACTTTGCTATTAGTATACTTGGCAATATAAAGAATTAATAATTGTTATTTTTGACTCAGAGCAAAGCCTCGAATTAATAATAGAAAATATTCGTTATCAAAGTGGGGATTATCCTGAAAAATTTAGATCTTGAATTTTCAAGATTTTATTTAACTGTTTCCAAATTTTTTAACGGTTAGATAAATTTGATAATCTTTAAAACTAATCCTCAGCTGATAAAATTTCATTCTACACTTTTTTTTTACGTATTTTTACACAAAGGAACTCTTTCGGCCCGTTAGTACCACCCTTCCAGCTTTATCCTGTGTCTTCTAGTATCAATTTTTCTGATCACTATTTAATTCATCTGTTTACGTATTATTCGTTTCTCGCATAAACACTCGCAAATAATCGTCCATTGTATATTTTCAGGGCGTGGTTCTATTGCAAAGCATGCCACGAGGATATTAAAGACGAAACTCTGATCAAGAAATGCAAGTGCAAAAATTGTAAGTTTTTCTAGTCTAGTGACATCCCTTAACAATTTCTTTCTATTCTTATTCAGTTCCATGCTGTTTAATCTCTTGACTAATCGACCTTCAAAATCTGTCGGTGATACGATAATATATTACTTAATATATACATATCTACACAACGGTTAACGATATATCTGTGTACATAGAGCACGCTAGATGTATCGAAGGTGTTGCGAATCACACGCGGATTCGATTAATCCCCCCTCTCAAGATCAATTATTTATTACAGTGTGACTCGCAGAACAGTTAACGACTTACCATAGACTTACGTTTTAAGATCAGGCGAAATGACACACAAGGAGCTCTATATTTATCGATGAACTCCTTTGGCCCCTTCACGTCCCCTTACCCCCAATGTCCTCTTTCTTGTTTCTATGTCCTATATGTGCTACGGGAAAGCCGTAGCAGTAATTATTGCGACAATTAACGAAGTGACATGGTTATGACCATCCTCTTGTGATATATTGTGATCTAGTGGGGCAGCAGCAGCGCTCTTGGGGCCGGGACTTAGGTAACGTCTCTCACTCGTTCGCTTAGTCTTTTACTATCCTTTACTCTATTCACCTGTTTCTATTGAATTTGACCCCCTCTCCTCCTTTTTATGTCCATCAAGCACCAAACAATCTCTCCTGCCTTTCTCCCCGTTGATTTTTTATTCCAAAAGTTTCCCTCAATCAGTTTCTTTCTTTGCTCCCATCCATTTTATTCCCGTCTTTCTCTCGCCCTTTAATCTACCTCTATATATATATATATCTATCTTTCTCTGCCTCTTTGCATATTTCTATCTCTATCTGTTTCTTACTTATGTGTACATATGCCTCGATTTTTAAAACCATTATCTTGCATTACCCCGCGCCAGTAAGCAGTGACCAACGATCATTGCGTTATCACGATAAATGGCGATCAGATTATATACATATATACATATGGCACCATTCATTTTTCTCATTGAAAAGTCAACATTGGTTCGATTGCGATTGCCATCGGAACCTCTGGGTATTATTCGTTTTTCACGATCTTCGGTGCATCCGACGATCGGTTTTGCGTGTGACAGTGGTGACACGTCCGAAAAAAGAATTTTTTTATTCTCGAAACGATCGGCCGTAAAACGTCTCTCTACTCGATCTAGCCGTCACCGAAAGTTAGCTCTCATAGATGGGTCCATCGTACTCTCTCTCTATCTCTCTCTCGAGATATCGTTCAAGGCCAAGCGAACAGCGTGTGGTGGTCATTGGTATAGAATACACTAGAAAAATCGAGTGACGTGAAAAATGAAATTACCATTGATACATGACACGTGACATGTAATAAATCCTTAAATAGTTCAGTCAGTTGGCGCATGTCCACCTGGCCAATCAACCGAAATTAGCCTGCACTCTAGCGTGTGCCCTTCTCGCTCGTCTTGCATGCATGATTAGATCCCAATTCCGGGTATTACTATGCCTAAATGGCATGACAGCTTCGTACGAACCTCTCTTTCTTTTTCTCTTTCTGTCTATCTGTTTCTCTCTCTCTGTCTCTCTCTCTCTCTCTCTCTCTCTCTCTCTCTCTCTCTCTCTCTCTCTGTATTTCTTGCTCTATTTCTCTCACCAGTTTCTGTGGCTGTCTAACCGAAATACTCTTTCTTCGAATCGCGTGAGAACTCTCAGCGTGCCAGCTGTTATTGATGAGACTTCCACCGGTCCACAAGGGCCCGATTGATTGCGAATATATCTCTTCGATTGCGCCCCCTCCGCTATCTCTCTGTCTATCTATCTATCTATCTCTGTATTCCAATAAAAAAAACCGTGCTCCGTATTCCGTGATACTTGTACCCGATCCGAGAAACACCTTCTATGGTAAGAGCAGCAACACTATTGACGTTCATCCACGGGGGTAAAAATGATCGAACAACCTCTAGTGAAACGGACGCGCCTTTACACACCCATGCACACGGTTCACCTTCCACCCCTCTCCGATATCATCGAGATCAACTAGCCTCCTTACGGGGAATACGATGTCCATCACGAATAATCTTAAACCCTGGGCAGTCAACGCTTCCGACGAAGTATCCTTTCGTTCTCGTCACTGGATCGTGGTGAACGTGTCCGGAGATTTAGTTGATCACGCGACTTGCTTTAGGATTTTAAGGGGAATTCGACGGTACGTAAGCTGATCACGATCATGCTTGGGTGTGTTTACACGGTCATTTTTTAATGTGTCTTATATTGTAGAGTTCTCAACTTTTGAGGCTTTCGAGGGTGTAAGACGTGGCCTTGTGGAATTATTTTCCTAATGTTTTGCAACAATCGCAGCAAACTAGATTAGGGTGACTTTCGACACCCTAAGAAAGCCTAGCATCAGTGTGTCTTTCGATTCCCTAATAAAGCCTAGCTGCAAGGCTTGCTAAACGTTGGGAAAATAATTCCACAAGGACACGTCCTACACCCCTGAAAGCCTGAACAATAAGAATTGTATGATGCCGCGATGAAAGCCTGAAATCCCTGGTGTCTTATATTGGCCGTGTGGGGGACGATTTGCGTTGTAACTAACGAATTCCAGCTTTACTTCTAGGCTTCTAGGGTGAATGTGGCTAATCGAAATATAGATGAATACATCGGAGATTTCATTGTTAATACATAGCTTATATTATTATTAACGGAGGAAGACTAACTGTATATAAATGTTACTTATTCAAATTCCATTTTTGCGAATCATTGTTACAGACACTGTACGGGTTTGTCTGAAAATCTGTGAAACTTTCAAGCGTTTCTTTCTTAATGTGTTTGTTTCATTTTTTTTCTGCCAAATACATTACAGAGTGAAAAAGTTCATGTATAATTGAATTTCTTACGATTGCAAACGAGATTGATTCCATCGTTTGCAATGTTTTTTTACCTTATCTCTGCATATAAGCGCCGCCCCCACCCCACCACAAACCCCTAACCCCCCTTAACCTGCCCAATTGCCAGCTATTTTGATGGAACCTCTCCATGTATTTATTTACAAACGTGTGTCCGGGCCGACCGCTCGATGTTTACAGATGTCGGGATGATGATGATGCAGACTGGCATGGTGAAAGGAAACACTGCCTACAGCAGTTACCTCGACGGTACGCGTTTTTACACCTTCCTTTCGTTCCAGTCGATCCCACACTGCATACATCCTTTCATCGAGTTACTTCTGGAATCTTGTCAGAATAATCTACAATAATTTTCTTTTTTAATACGGAAACGATTCTGAACGTTGATTACAAAATCCCTACTTTTACGTATCTATCTTCCAATATTCCAAAACAGACGAAACAAATGATATTTACTCGGTTCAAACTGTAAATTCGCTCCGCTGATAATTAATAATATTTACGTATTACCGTGTTTAAAAAGTTTTACACTTACCATAAATCTATAAAAGTCGAATTGTAGTGGTTATAAACGTTTATTGTTCTGACAAGTTCTCTCTCTGTCTTTGTTTGAGTCAAAGTGTAAGGATCAGATACATATAGTTTCACTGATCGAGTCTGGGATTAATAGAAAATTTTCGTAAAGGTGAACTTTTAAGAAAAAGGGATTGGATAAACGAGATATAGCTCAAGTTGGATGAGTTTTTACTTTAGTATTAGCTGCCATTATTCGCTATAATTTAGTAAAGTGGAAGCCTGAAGGTCTCACGGAATAGGTTATGTCACTTCTTGCGCAAGAGTGACGTGATCTCAGAGTCTCGATCGGCCAAACTATATTGTATCTGCTGTTAATCATGTTCGTAAAACAGTACAGTTGACTCAGACAGAGCTTCGTTCGTTTGACATTGAATGAGGTAAGGTAATATAAGTGGTGCAAAAACAAAAATGCAGATCGAAGTACGGTATTTATATTCCATGTACACATGCACTCAGTTCACAGTACCTTTGAACTTTTTGCTCTTTGACATTGTGTTAAATTCGTATTGTTCTCGTTGGGCTTTACGCTAGAGCTGAAATTTGGCGAGCATTGTTCCCTGACAAAGCAGTACGGTCGGGTTCGTTAATCAGACGCGACACGTTAGACGTCTTCGAATGCGTGACAAGAAAATATTCGTATCTTATTAACTTTTGACTTCGAATCGCGTGTAGCTTACGGAAGTACCGGGATTGGAAAAAGTGTGAAGTAGGTATATATGTTTGGGTGAGAATTGTATTTGGAGAAATGTCGAATGTGTCTAAAGGGACTCGGTTAAACAAGCTGTAACATTTAAAATGAAATATAAATTAAGAAAATTAGGTGACACAATGTTTAGAGTAGAATTCAAGGAGTCATATTATTAAGAACGTAAACTTAATTCGGAATATTTAAATAAGCAGCCATACATGTTTCAATATAGAATGAAATTAATTATTGATAAATTTTGTGAAAATAACAAATGTTCAAATGGCAAACATTCAGTGAAAATATAAAAGAAAAGACGATATTACCATAAGTATTAACCAAAAGATTTAAGAAATAAACGTGTAAAGTTAAAAAATTGAAGAGAAAATTAGAAACCTAAATGCAAGAGATAAATCATCAGGATTTATTACAAAGACAAAATGATATAAATCCACTTTTACAAATATGGAAAGAAATTAATTAAATTTTCTTCGAAGAATTCCAGACAGTTTTTCTTAACCATTGATACAGAGCTTCCTAAAAGTAACGTTTATATATTGAATATAAAAGTACAGTATAGTATTTAAACACTAATCGTATAACATATCAAATGCTTACTGTTATATTTTGGTATTATAAACTAAAAGTTTCAAACATTCTTTATTCTACGACTCGTCCGAATCAAAAGCTCATAGGGTACGAATATTCTTGGAACTCAAGAAATTGTTTGTCATAATTGTCATTGGCGAATATATTCATCTAAACAAGATGACATTTTTTAAATGCAAAACATCGCCAAATTCATCCTGATCTTGAAATTTATATATTTACAATGTTTTTCTTTATTTTTGTATGTACTTTTTTTAACAG